GTGGAGGGTCAGAGAAAAAGAGGAAAACCCCCAACAAGATGGATTGGCCAAGTGGCAGCATCAATGGGCTCAAGCATGGCAACAATTGTGATGTTGGCCCAGGATTGGGCAGTGTTTTGTTCTGTCGTGCATAGATAGGGTCGCTATGAATTGGTACTGACTCAATGGCACCTAACAACAACAACAAAGTTCATTGGGTTCCAATTCTGTTATCTCTGCAGTCAGTTAGTAGCCTGACATTTCACCAAAGGGCACGTTGATCCTTTAAATCTACCAGAAGAGTAAAGCCACTTCTGGGAGAGGGTTAAGACAACTGCAAAGACTTGCACCTGCCCCTCAGAGCACTGAGAGACCAACCCATACGTGCAAACTGTGCAACCTCAAATCCCTGGAGGTTTTGTCAGCCCTGACACCAGCCTGCCAATCTAAGGACACTGGTCACCATCTGCACCACTGCTGTGGGACTGAGGAATGGGGGATGGGAGCCAGTGGGCATACATACTTGACCTAAGAAAAATCAGCAGCTTGTCTCTTCACCAGTCTCTCGTTAAGTGTCCTATCCAGATAGAGTTCCAAAACAGTTGGTGGAGGAATGGGCCTTTGGAACATTCCAATCCACCCTTTTGTGTAACTATTCAGTTCTCTTGAAAGTTTCAAATTCTACAAGAAGCCAACCTTTCTCACAGAATCCTGAGATATTTTGGGTCTTCTTCAATCATACTAATTAATTTCAAGTGATTCAGAGTGGCCATAGCTTATAGGTGTTGCTCACTGCTTCCCACCCTCAGTCCTATAGGAGCCCAGAGGAGGGGTAAATTAGACAGACAGATATGAATAGTCACAACAGTGTGCTTGCAACATTAGTCTGTTCTGCCCACTTCTTAGTCACAGAGGGGTTTCTTTCTGGTTCGGGTTTACCATCAGTACCACTGGCACTGCCCCATCACCTGCTGCTGCAAAGACCCGGAGAGGAAAACTCTAGAGTATAGAGAAAGCTGCTCCGCTCTTCTAAAGTCCGTTTTTCCTTGATTCCATTTTCCCTAGATGCTGGAACTCTTTGTCTAGTTTCAAATGTTCTAAGTCTGTTGGTTCTACCACTTTCTGTTTGGTTTTGTTGTGAGGAGCTGAAACAGGAAGTTGCTTACCCCACCATATTGTCTTTCACCCATAAGTCTCTAATAATTACCCTAGTCACAGAATCCTGCTACTAAATTTGTATATGCATTACTGGATGTATCCAAAAATGTTAATATCTAAATGAATCAAGTACTTACTCCCTATGCGCCATCATATCTTGTATGTTATTTATCATAATTTCTATAGAGGGGAATACAACATGATTACTGTGTTTTTACACAAATAATGCAAGCCTTTTATATTTGTTTGCCACCAGCTTCCTCCCCACGGTATTTTCATAAGCATGCTATACATAGAATTTGCAAAAATACCTCTCAGGGAGGGGTACAGTGAGGGAAAAACCTACAAGGCAGGTGCATGATATTTACATAAAAATACTGCATATCAGT